CGGGCGGAGGACAGACACCTGCCCCTGACTGGACCTGAGGCCCGGGCTGAGGACAAACACCCTGCCCCTGACTGGACCCCAGGACCAGGGTTTGAAAACCCACCAATCCCCGAGTTTGCTCCTGAGTCAGACCACAAAAAGCCATCCTAGAAAGCTCCACTCCCAAGAAGCCCTATATGGGCTCTGCACCCTGTTCAGGCTGCGGCTGCTGACCCTAGAGACAGCCACCCCCCTGGATTCTTCCTTCCAGTAAATCCCTTGAGTAAGGTCTGTAGAGCAGCGTGGCATTTTTGCCGGCGAGGAGCCCCGCTCTAACCGTTTTCCCTGGAGCTGAGCCGAGAGAGCCGAGCAGAACTGTAGAACACTTCGGCTGGGGAAGCTTTCCGCTTGCACAGCAGAGCTGTAACAACTTGTCTGGGAAACCCTTCCCGCCTGGGCAGAGTTGTTACCTTGGGGGAACCTTTCCCTGCTAAGCCTACAGCGACTTTGTGGCATTCCTTGGCTCCCGACTGCCAGGACACCTTTGCATCTGAGCTGCAGTGCCCAGTGCCCACAGCGTTGTTTTTGGGTTTTCATGTTTCTTTGTTTTTGCATTGGGACTGATGCATCCAGGGTCAGGTGGTTGGTTGGGTTGCTTTTAATCATCCTCTTTCTTTCAGGGGAAGTTATCAGCATTCAACTGTAGACCGGGGAACTGAACACATTCTTCTCCCTAAGTCCTTTTTGTCTGCATAATTTTGGGAGGCTATCTAAATTCGCTTTCTTGGTGCTTTGACCTCATAACTCTATATACATTATAAATAAGTTATTAATAATACTTCCTTTGTTTTTCCTCTCTTGGGTATTCTTTATTGTCACTGACTATTTTTCCAATGTTTGAAAACTGTTATTTTAATTTTCCTTAGCTTTTAGTCAGTTAAGCTGGAAGGGTTACTGTAATTTTTGCTACTCTGCTTTGATCAAATTAAAAGATCAGACTGGGGATTTTGTTTGTCTGTTTTGTTTATAAAGGTTTATTTGTGTGTGTTCAAGCACACATGTATGTGTGTAGGTACCCACAGAAACCGGAAGAGGATGTCAGGTCTCCTGGAGTTGTGGGTGGACACAGTTTGTGAGCCTTCCCCGTGTGGGTTCTTCCTCTGAAGAGCTGCAAGCAGTCTTAATCACCAAGACATATTGCCAGACCCCTAGATATTCCTCAGTACAGGCACAGAGTGATATTCATAAAAACAAATGGAACATGGCCGGGACTTTTCAGGAGTCGAGGGTGTTGCCTAGCAGCATATCTTTTATGACTTTATAACATTTCTATTATTATTATGTCATATTGTTTGCTTTCCTCATGACTGTTCTTGTTCGTTTTTAAATACTTGTGTCGTTCGCCCCCCTCCTTCCCACTTGAATTTGCATGTTTCTTGAAAGTTCTTTGGTATGAGAACAACGTTCCTTAACTTTCTGAAACACATTTTATTTGTATTGTGTGTGTATGTCATGTGCCACAGCACAGGAACGGCACAGAGGAGAAATGTGTGGGAGATGGCGTTCTCCTGCCATGTGGGTGCTGGGGTCAAACTCAGGTTGTTAGGTTGGCGGCACGTGCCTTTACCTGCTGAGCCGCGACGCCAGCCCAAGAACAGCATTCTAAATCTTAATACCCTGAGAAAATTTAGTAACTATTTCCTCAGTATCTGTCTGCTCCCCTTTTTACCTTCTCTAAGAATATTTAAAGGCTGCATTCTCTCCTTTGTTCTGTTTTCTGCTAGTTGGAATTTGAGGTGGTAACTATAGCTTGAGTAGCCATTTTAGACAGAGAAGGCTCTGTACTGAGAAAGGTGAACAGCAAAGTGTAAAGTGCCACTGTGAAGCCACAGCCCCTCCCTCCCTCCTTCTCTCCTTCTCTCCTGATTTCTCTCTCTTCAAATTCATCTTTTTGTGACATGATCTGAATATGCCGTCCACATCAACTTCAAACTTGAAACCAACCCTTCTTTCTCCTCAACCTAAAAGATGCTGGGTTACAGATGTGCATCACCATGGTGTATAATCTGTTGTTGTTGGCAAAAAGGAAAAAAAATGTGTATTTTTCAGCTGGGCAGTGGTCACATATGCCTTTAGTCCCAGCACTCGGGAGGCAAAGGCAGGAAAATCTCTGAGTTTGAGGCCGGTCTGGTGTACAGAGTGAGTTCCATAACAGCCACGGTTGCACAAACCATGTCTCAATAAAACAAAGCAGAAAACAAAGGTGTATTTTTTCAACTGTTGCTGGATTTTCTACCATGCATAGCTAACTGTGACTGACCCCACATAGAGAGTGTGCTGTATAGCTTTATGTCAAGTTAACACAAGCTAAAGTCATCTGAGAGGAGGGAAACTCAGTTAAGGAAGCACCTCCATAAGATAGGGCTGTAGGCAAACCTGTCGGGCATTTTCTTAATTAGTGCTTGATGGGGGGAGGGGCTCAGCCCATTGTGGGTGGTGCCATCCCTGGGCTGGTGGTCCTGGGTTCTATAAGAAAGCAAGCTGAGCAAGCTATGTAAGCAGAGCTCCTGCCTCAGTTTCCTGCCCTGCTTGAGTTCCTGCCTCACTGTGGGAACTACCCCTTCCTCTCCGAGCTGCTTTCGGTCGTGGTGTCTGTCACAGTCCTAGTGACTCCACCTAAGACAGAGGAAGGAAGAACGGGGCCAGGGGGCTGGGTCTGGATCACACATTGGTCGAGGATGGCATTTTTCATATATTCACCCATGCCTTGAGCATCTGCGTTATTTCAGAGAATATTGCAGTTAGATGCTATGAGCATCTTTGAGTTGACTAGAATAGAATGTGGTCCCACTTCAGAAGCGAGAGAACTGCATCTAGGAAGGAAGGCACAATGGCTGGGGGAAAGTGCTTCAGCAGGTCAGTCAGAGAGCTTGACTGCAGCTTCCGTTCCTCTGCCCCAACCCACACTCCACCCCTGGTTGTAAATGGATTCTCTTCTTGTTGCTGATAGACCGTCTGTAGATGGCAGGCTAGATAGAGTAAATGCACCGGAGCTGCACTCGGTTCTGATTGTCTCGTTTGTCCTTCCAGCAAAGGGTGAATCATGCATAAGAACAGCCTAACTGAGTCTAGGAGCAAGACGGCAGGAAAGTCAGATGAGCACCCCAATCTGTGGATAGAGCGCTTCTTCAGCCGGAGATGCTGCATCACCTTCCTGACTGGCTGCTACAGCTGCCACTGGCAGTACACAGAGTGGGAGAGAACTGAACTTGGATCCTGTTGCTGCTCCTGGGTATAGAGATGGAAAGGAGCTGGATTCACTTCCTTAGCTGTGGGTGTGGGGGGGGGGGTCCCTAACCTCTGGAGTGCTCACTGGGATTTCCAAGGTCAGGTACAATAAGCTCCAGTCTTCCTGTCAAAGTGCTGTGGCAAGCCTAGAGCCAGAGTTAAATATACATGCTGTCTTCCTTTTCCCCCCTTTCTCTTCCTCCCTTTTCCTTCTTCCTTCTCTTTTGTTTTACAGGAGATTAAACTTAGGATCTCTTGCATGCTAAGCAAGAGCTGTACTGCTGAACTACATCCAAAAGCCCCTTTGTTTCTTGCCTGCTTTCTTCCCTGCTCCCCAGTGTTTTAAAGCAGGATCTCTTGTTGCCTAGACTGACCTTGAACTTGCTATATAAATGAGCCAAACCTTGAACTCCTGATCCTTCTGTCTCGACCTCTGAGTTGTGGGATTGCAACCATGTGTCATTCATTCGTTCATTTTTTCATGCACTTTTATATTTATTCATTGAATTTTGAAGATTTGGATGCAATTAGATGTTCATAGGAGATTACAAGAAGGCTCAAATCTTTTTTTCATGTATGTATCATGTGTATCTTTTTTTTAACATACCAATCCCAGTTCCCCCTCCTTCCTCTCCTCTTGCCCCTCCCTTCCCCCATCCCACCGCCCATCCACTCCCCAGAAAGGGTAAGGCTTCCCCTGATAATTCTGCCAAATCTGTCCCATCACCTCGTTGAGGTGGGACCAAGGCCTTGGCCCCCCCCCCCCCACCCCCTCCCAGTCCTGTGCGTCGGTTGAGCAAGGTATCTCTCCATAGAGAATGGGCTCCACAAAGTCGGTTCACGCATTAGACTTAGATCCTGGTCCCACTGCCATTGGCCCCATATACTGCCCAAGTCACACCATTGTCACCTGTACTCAGGGGGCCTAGTTTGGTCCTATGCAGGTTCCTCAGTAGTCAGTCCAGAGTCAGTAATCTCTGACTAGTTTGGGTCAGCTGATTTTGTGGGTTTCCCCATTATGGTCTTGACCCCTTTGTCATATTATTGCCCCTCTCTCACTTCGGTTGTCTCTGCCTCGGTCTCCATCTGTTTCTGGAAGAGGGTTCTGGCTTCTCTGGGGTTGTGGACTGCAGGCTGATTATCCTTTGCTTTATGTCTGGTATCCACTTAGGAGTGAGTACACACTACATTTGTCTTTTTGGGTCTGGGTTACCTCACTCAAGATGGTTTTTTTTAGTTCTGTCCATTTGCATGCAAATTTAAAGATGTCCTTTTTTTTTTCACTGCTGAGTAGTTTCCCATTGTGTAAATGTACCCAGATTTTTTTTATCCATTCTTCTGTTGAGGGTCATCTAGGTTGTTTCCAGGTTCTGGCTATTACAAATAATGTTGCTTTGAACATAGTTGAGCAAATGTCCTTGTGGTGTGAGTGTGTCTCCTTTGTGTATATGCCCAAAAGTAGTATTGCTGGGTCGTGAGGTAGATTGATTCCCAATTTTCTTAGAAATCTCCATACTGATTTCCACAGTGACTATATAAGTTTACACTCTCACCAACAATGAAGGAGTGTTCCCCTTACTCCACACTCTCTCTAGCATATGTTGTCTTCAGTGTTTTTGATCTTGGCCATTCTTACAGGTATAAGATGGTATATCAGAGTTGTTTTGATTTGCATTTCCCTGATGACTAAGGATGTTGAGCATTTCCTTAAGTGTCTTTCAGACATTTTAGATTCCTCTGTTGAGAGCTCTCTGTTTAGGTCTGTACCCCATTTTTTATTGGGTTATTTGGTTTTTTTGGTGACCAATTTCTTGAGTTCTTTGTTTATATTGGAGATCAGACCTCTGTCTGATGTGGGGTTGGTGAAGATCTTTTCCCATTCTGTAGGCTGTTGTTTTGTCTTGTTGACTGTGTCCTTTGCTTTACAGAAGCTTTTCAGTTTCAGGAGGTCCCATTTATTAATTCTCTCTCTCAGTGTCTATGCTGCTGGGGTTATATTTAGGAAGTGGTTCTCTGTGCCAATGCGTTCAAGTGTACTTCCCACTTTCTCTTCTCAGGTCTTCAGATGTCCTTACTCACTAAGTCATCTCACCAGCTCCCTGAATCTTTATTTTCTATTCTGTCAGTTCCCAAGGAGAAAGCGTCTTCCGCAGTAATGGCAGCGGGGAGGACAGGGAACCTGATAAGGAGAAAACATGATGTTCTTCACTCCTGGCTAAGCAAGTGCTTGATTTCCACTAACGTGGACTTCTAGTGAACCCGAGTGGCAGCATGAAGCTCTCTGAGCAGTGATAGGGAGCCCTCTGGTGCACTATGCAGTGTGATAGGTCAAATAATGAACACACGTCCATGGGAAGAGGAACAAATCGTGCGCCTTCACTCGACTGTAAACATAGTCCACTTGAGTCTAAGCATCTCACTAATTAGTCTCTAATTTCCTGTTCTTGTATCTTATTTTATATGTATGTATCTATCTGCCTAACTATCTGTCTTTGGGATTTCGATGATTGTGAGTCTAAGGCCTTGCACACACTTGGTAATTAGCTTACCTTCGAGCTCCATACATCCCCAGCCCTGGATCTCTCATTTCTTCTGCCTGGTAATGGGCGGCTTCCCTGGAGCAATCAAGGATGTCCTTCTGCCCCTGTACTTTTCATGCCCAGATATTTAGCTTTCCTGCAGTCGTAAATGTGCCGCTCTCAAAGAACTCTGTTCTGCTGGGGAAAGCTGCATACCTCGCAGCCTAGCACAGCAGCAAGAGTGTGATGCACACACGCACTGTTTAGGAGTGTGGGAGGCGGTTAAGAACTGCGTGTGATATGAGAAATGGTATTAGAGGAGTCAGCGCACAGGGAGTGGAGATTGCTGGGGTAGGTGGAGCAGAAAGGAGTAGAGCAGTTGCTGAGAAACAAAGGCAAGGGAAACGGGTCGGGTAGCGCGGTTTTAAAGCTTACCCGTTATACAGGAGGTAAAGGATACCTGAAGAGGGCTGGGCTGTGACTCAGTGGTGGAGCATAAGCTTATTGCCCCTGGATTTGATCTCCATCACCAGAGGGGGAATACTTTGATGCTATGACCTGTGTTTTGGAATGGTTATTTGAGTGGTGGAGGGGGTATCAGAAGGGCCAATGCAGGAAACCCCTGCTTTCAAAGGGGGAACAGTGGCAGTGCTCCACATAGGAGATGTGGGTGGCAGGGGCTGGAGCGGTAAAGGCAGATATGGGGAGAAATGGGCAGGTTCGACAGATTCATTACTACTTGGGAGATCTATAAAGGATCTGGGGTAAATATAAAGAGATGCTGTGTTGAAAAGGGCAGCATTTAGGGCAGTCTAGTACAATGGTAAAACACTGGACCAGAGTATGTATGGGCTGAAATTATAGCTATAACTTGGGCTGGTTATGTGATATACCAGCGCCTCTCTGTAGATAGAGAATCGAATTAGGTAAAGGCCCTGAATAATTTCCAAGTATCCTTTCTACTCAGATGGAGTAAAACATAAAGGGGAAGACCACCAGATGCAATCAATGGCTTTGCTACTGAGCGTCCCTGAGTTAGTGACCCATTGTTGTAAGGGTTTAGGCAAGGCTCTTAGCATCTTTGTGATTCAGTGCCCATGTTAGAATAAGGTAGACGTTAACAACAAAGCCCACGGCAGGAGCTGCTGTGGGAAAGAAGAGATTTCTGTAGGATGCACTTTGAGCAGAGCATAATAAAACTGATGTTATTACTGCAGGGTTCTTAGGGCCGCTGCTTTGGGAGGCGATGAAGGGAAATGCGTAGAGGAGGGTTCGGAGTGTGTGTGTGTGTGTGTGAGAGAGAGAGAGTGTGTGTGAGTGTGTGTATGTGTGTGTATGCGCGAGTGTGTGAGTGTGTATATGTGTGTGAGTGTGTGTGCGAGTGTGTGAGTGAGTATGAGGGTGTGTGAGTGTGAGTGTGTGTTTAAGTGTGTGTATGTGTGTGAGTGAGTGTGTGTGAGTGTATGAGTGTGTGTGAGTGTATGTGTGAAATTAACCAAAAAAATCCAAAGAAAGACAAGCTCAATGGTGTGTTTAAGGAGAGTTTGATTCCAGTGCTGAATTTAGGAAAATTTGAAGGACTAAATAATTATTAGGATTAGAAAACAAAGTTTAGATGAAATTATAACACCTTTACATTAGGCTAAAAAAGTTGAGCTTTATCCTATCAACAGAGAGGAACCCTTGAAAAATTTCAAGTCAGAATGGTGATGAGATTAAAAGAATAGAAACAGATTTTTTTTAGCAGAAAGTTATTAAGTTTATCAGATATTTATGCCACAGTAGCCAAAACATCTGGAACCTTGCTCTGGCCTCCAGCAGCTTAAATTTAACTTATCCAGTGGGATCAGTTACGTAATAAATAATAAATAGAAAAGGTGCTTTCAAATAGCAGTAAGATTTTTCAAGATGAATTTGAAATGTATATTAGAAATTGGAAGGAGGAGTTAGAGGCCTGTGGAAACTCCTTTGGTCCATCTGCAAATGAAGAGATGGACTCATTAGCCCTGTGTTGGGGCAAATGCGTTCCAGGTAGCCGTGCTAAGCACCTGGCTTCGGAGTGGGTGGCATTTGATGTGTTACAGAAGCAGCTAGTGTGGCTAACCTCTGGAAAGGTGGGGTGGGTGGAGCTAATCCTAGACAACCTGGTGGGCTTGAAAGGCTCTTTGGATGGCGATGGTGTAGTAACATAGGGAGCTATAGTAGCACAGGGAGCTCTGGGAGGGTTTGAGTAGCGCGGCGACATTATTTGGTAATATGCTTTTTATTTGTTATTTTTTAATTTTTATTTATATTTTATGAATGAGTGCTCTGCATGTACACCTGCAGGCCAGAAGAGGGCGTCATCACGGAGGCTTGCGAGCCACTATGTGGGTACTGGGAATTGAACCCGGTACCTCTGGAAGAGTAGCCAGTGCTCTTAACCGCTGAGCCACCCCTCCAGCCTGGTAATATGCTTTTTAAAGGTGTGTGTCACCCAACTACACTCCTGGTAGTGGTTTGCTGCCCCAGTGCCCATTAGGTCTCCTCAGCTTGTCAGGATGCCCTTTCTACGTATGTCTGCAGTCTCTTAAACCTCAGGTTATTCTAGCCTAGGGAGGGTAATGGCCAACACCAGAACAGTCCTGACCTTGGTGCACAAGGATCACTGAGATGACATAGACAATGGCGCTAAGTTAGGCTTCTTTCTCTTTTCAGAAAGAGCAGTTTTTTTATGTGTGCCTGGTAGTTGCGTTCGTCCTGTCCGTGATTTTTCTGTTCGTGTGGGCTGAGACCTCTAACGAGTACAACGGCTTTGACTGGTGAGTTCATTTCTGTACTTTTATTGGTATACGGGCTCCTTCACTGGGTAGAAACTTGGGCTCTCCCAGGCTGAAAGATCTGGTGGTTTAGCAGGTGGACAAACGTGGATTTTGCACAGCTGGGGGTAAGAGGTGTAACTGTAGGGCAGTGAGCACACATTCAGCACCCAGACTTACACCTCCCTTCCAGCAGTGCTCAGTCACACTGCAGACCAAACGGTGCTCACAGCTTCCTCTGTGCTTCCGACAGCCCAGCCCTCAGGTAAGTATTCTGTCCTCTTTACTCTGAAGTCCCTTTGCTTGATGACTGATGCCCACACTTCTTGTTCCTCGCGGTTTATGTCCCACAGTCATTCTCTGCCTTCGCTGCTTCTCCTGCAGCCTTTGCATCTTTCTTTTGTCTTTAGGGTCACTTGGAATTCTGGGCAGAGGGACCCATGTTCCTTCTCAACTCCCTTTCATGGCTAAATGTCTCCCTGACCACTCTCAGACATCTCAGCTTTTCTGGCCTGATGCCTCCAGCATCACTGTAAACCTTACCTCCTACTTAGTGTTTACGGGAGAAGGCGTGTGTAGGTGTGAGGCTCTTTTCTTTTCCTTAATCAAATGCAGTTTATTTTTCTCTGTATAAGAGTTAAATCTAGTTGATTATCTTAAATGTAGAAATTAGAGCTGGAGCCATGCTCAGAGGGTAAAGGAGATGCTGGAGCCATGCTCAGCGGGTGAAGGAGATGCTGGAGCCATGCTCAGGGGGTAAAGGAGATGCTGGAGC